CTACAACTTTGAAGGAAGCTTGTTCTGTTGAACGGAGTAAACCACACGACTTCTGACGATGACCAGCCACCCTGACCGGAGACGCTGAAAGGTAGCGCGCAAAGGGACCTCTATACTGGAGCTGTCCATCCACTGCAAAGGTAAAGAGACGTCACGAGTTGTCGCGCACTAAGTGGACCGGGGGGTTTGAGCTGCTGTGGAAAGAAGAGTGCTATTTCTGGTCAACAAACATACATCTTCCTTCATCCATCTTCCTTTTAAATCTATTCCTTCTCTTAAACTTTTCTATTTGCCAGTGATCTAGATGCCTTCAGAGGTGAATCAGCCTCAATCAGTAATGTTCTTTTGTCTTGTTAGTAAAGCGTGCCAAGTTTTTATTAATCAGAAACAGATCAGAAAATCAATGTGTACATGTTTTGATGTTAAATTTTGATTCTGTTAAATAAATGACCGCATTTATTCTGATGGGTCAAAGATAAAATGGCATCTCATGTCACTGATTAAACAATCCACTCACAGTTGTCTCGGTCATATGGCAGAAATTTAACTCGAAAAAGAAAGAATCCGTTGTAATTAAACAATTAATATTCTTTGTGCTTGAACTAGCTTTAAGAATAATTAATTAGTAGTGTGTCTACGGCAAAGCTGTCCCTACACCACTACAATCTTCAGGCCCTCAGGTGGCACTCCATTGAAAACAAGTCAGATTTTGTTAAGAACTCCACTGCATGGGCTGTGGAAAACTTAAAAATAAAAAATCTTTACAAATGCTGGTTCACGTTCTATCATGCAAAGAAAAGCCATATGTGAACACCATCAGAAACATTGTCAAAGCTTATTTAAAAGGAAAGGAGGATAAATGAAAAGCTGTTCTGTAGTGTAACAAATTATAATTTAAAATTATTTTTGGAAACGCTGCTGATATGTCCACTGTATTAAACAGGAGAGGGGTCAACCTTTGGCATGGGCCGTTTACACGTATAGAAAGGCGCTATAAGTGCTGAAATGTATTTACAGGATTTACTACAACATTTGCTCCCATTAGGACATTCTTTTTCATGGAAGGCTTTGCATATTTCAACAAGACAGTGTTTAATTGCTGACTGCCTCCGTTACAAAGAATGGCTTTGTTTTAGAAGAGTCCTGGTGCTGATCAGATCAATTACCAAACCTTTCTCTAATTAAAAATGTTAGACGCATCTTGAAACAAAAAAATCCAGCAAAGACAGCTCAGGACGTTTGAACAAATAGAATCCTACATCAGATAAGAATGGGACAACATTCCTCCAAAAACTCCAGCAACTGGCCTCCTCAGTTCCTAGACGTTTACCAACTGTTGTTGAAGAAGAGTAGAGGCTTCACAGAGGCAAATACAGCCCTGTCTCAATGGTTTTCAGATGTAAGTAAGTGAGTGCTATGTGTTGTCATCCTTGTCTGTTTCCATACAATGACAAAATTAGTTCTCTGCATTTAACCCATCACACCTGAGAGACACCCAGGTGGAGCAGTGGGCAGCTATGTAAGCACCTGAGAAGCAATTAGGGATTAGATGTCTTGCTCAGGGACATCACGACATGTGGGCATAGCCATGAGTTGAAAACCACAACTTCCTGGTTCCAAGTCGGCTGCTCTACCTCTACACCAGCTCAGCCCAAGATGTGTTGCTCCAGTGGATTACAAAATCAGCCTTTTGTTTTTTAGAATGATACATTTCTTAGTTTCAACATCTGATGTGATTACTAACTTGCTTTGTGGAAAAAAATATGAGTTTATGAAAGTTGCAAACCATTGCCTTCTGTCTTTATTTACATTTCACGTCCCAAATTCTGCAGAACTGGAATTGTACGACTGATTTCTCCTCTTAACTGTAGAAAAATGGTAGCTGCACAAGACTGCTGTCCATTTTTCTTTCCAGTTTATTATATCACAGGTCACCTTGACAGTCTTATGGCATGTATGAGATAAACCAGGATAAGTGCCTATCTTTTCGAGGAGTGAATTTCCTCTTAAAGCTTTCAAGAACAACCCTCTAACAGAAATAGGTTATGTTCTGTGAAAAATACATGGACTGGGTTTAACATTGACGCAAGGTTAAGCTGAAAAATGTTGTTGTTTTTTTTTTTTGAATGAAAAAAATGTTTTGACACAAGCAGCTCAAACACTGCTTGCTCAGCTGCATAAAGGAGCCGCAGAAATCCATCTGTTTAACCAACCGCTCTGTCAAATTGAAGTCAAACAGTAAATGATCCAAGAGCTCTTTTTATGGAAAGAGACCAGTTACAAATGACTGCTCCACTAAAGTCCCCCACTGTTGCAGAGCGGTCTCAGGCCAGTCATAGATGGAAAGAGTTATGGTTGAATGAAAAAAGAGGTTAATGGAAAAATGGGAGCTATGGGTCTCTAAACCATTCATTGCTGCTTCTCCCTTCCTGGCTTTAGACTGTCCTTATCTACTGCAGTCCTGTGGTCGAGTACGTAGCCCGCCTCACCCCACTTTGAACCTTCCTGATGAACTCAGCTCTCCCCTCGGCTGTGCCCTCGGGCTGGCACTCCAAGTGTCTGCATCAGCTCATAAAGCAACTTCAAACATGCCATGCCCATTTTATCTGTATGAAGATGAAGCACTAGGGTGTGTTTTTGATCTGGGAACCAAAGGAAGTGAGTTTAAAAAGCTGCAGAAAATCACAGTCATGTTTAGAATTTTAACTATTTTACTCAATAAAGGATTGAGGTGGAATGCTTTACTTTAATGTAAGTCCTGAAAATATTTCATGTGCATGCGCTGTGTAACATCTTTTAACATTATTCCCCATTGTTTAGGTTGGCTCTACATGAAAAGGAAAGGATGAAAAGTCCTCGTGTTTCATCTTTTCAAACCATCTTCTGAGAAAACAGAATTGAGTGTTAAGCAAATTAGCCGCCTAGGTTTTGTTGCACGTTTCATGTTCAGTATAAAATAGTTTCTTATTAGAGGGGAGTGTCAACAAATATATTACAATATACTTGAAACAGCAGTAAAGATTTTAAAATAGAAATGGCTTCCAGGATTAAATGGCCCTGATTGTGTAAAAATCCCACCTTTAATATTTTCATGCATGATAGTTAAACATGTGAACACGCAAAATGAAGATGACAGCATGCTGTAGAAAATGCAAAACAACCTTTTAGCAGACACATGCAAATCCTGGGAGCAACAGGCTCTCCCTCTGTTTCAGCAGGCAGGAAATGTGACGAGTCTAGATGTTTCTGTGAACTAACCTTTGCTTGTTCTATTTTTCCTCTTGGTTCATATCTCATGTTAACGTGTCTGTCCTCTCACACTCTTTAGAGCACAAAGAGTGGCAGAAAGCAGTGCCCAGCTACAACCAGTCCAGCAGCACCATGGACTTTCGCACATGGAGCTCTCTTCCTCGTGATGACAGCCTGGAGCCTCTGCCTCTCAACTGGGAGATGGCTTACACCGAGACGGGCATGGTCTACTTCATAGAGTAAGAAAAGACTCTGGTCAAGATGAACCAATTCAGTCATTTGATTAAATCAAAAGTAACTGGATAAGTTGTTTATCTGTGAACTCACAGTTTAAAAATAGAAATTTCTTGAAGAATAAATTGTCGCCTGAATTATTCTTGTTGCATTAAGAACAAAAGCATAGCAGTATCTAAAAAAAATAATTGCTAAATCACAAGTTGGGGAGTGGTTGCGCAGAGGTTAGAGATGGTGGGCCTGTGATCAGAAGCCCTGGTACCAACAACATCAAAAATGTGGGTGGGGTAGATGAAGCACCCACACCTGCCCCCACCCTCATTCGCCCCACCCTGGGCCCATGAGCAAGGCCCTTAACACCCATCTGCTCCCTAAACAGGTCTCTCTTGAAAATGAGTTCTCGTAGCTCAATGAAACTACCTGTATAAATAAAGGGTAAATGAAAATAAATATATAAATAAATAAATACAAATGAAAAATATAAAAACTAAAGTGTAGATACAAACTAAAACTGTTGTTAAGTGCTAAAATTGGCAAAACTCTAGCTAAAAAATACATTTTGCACAACTAGTTAAAATTTGTAAAATTTATGTAAAATAAGCTTAACCATAGTCAAAAGGTAAAATACTCAAAAATATAGATAAAAACTAAATGACACAAAACTGTAGATGCACCAACACTGTTGTTAAAGCTAAGTTATCAAAATCCAAAATCTTAGCTAAAAATATCAAATTTATCTAAACTGTAGATGAAAGCTAAAATTAGCTAAACTGCAAATAAATATAAATACAGTAGTTCCTCGCTACTTCGCGGTTCGTTTTTCGCAGACTCACTCTATCGCGGTTTTTCAAAGTAAGATTGGGCATGACACACGATTGGCTGATAGATGGATGAGCCGCACGATTGGCGCATGTAATTTTTATTAAAAATTATTTTAGAAGCTTCCACCGACAGCATGTCATATCTCCATTCTGTAGAAGAGAAGTGGGCGTGGCCGAGAGCACTGGCATATGGCAGAGAGCAGCCGGAGTCAGAGAGCTGAAATCATGACATTCTGTGCTCTTTTAGAGCATTTAGAGTTTAGAAACATAGTTTAGAATATTACAAGTGTGGGAAGGGTTTAATACTTCTTCATATATATATATATATATATATATATATATATATATATATATATATATGTGTGTGTGTGAACTACTATTACTATTCCTACTTCGCATTTTTTCACTTATCGCGGGACTTCAGGGGTAATTTCCCCTGTGTTAAATGAGGGGGTACTGTATGCCAATATTGTAGCTAAAAGCTTTAAATACCTAACAGACTAAACCATAGCTAAAATTATCAAAACTGGAGCTGAAAGCTACATGCATGTACAGTAGCTAAAACCTAAAAGGATAATGAGAAAACAAAAACAAAGCAAGAATGCTGAAGTAGGTTTTAAATAATGTTTTTGAACACATTTGGAGAGATCTCAAAGTATTTTTTTATGGGGAAAAAAAGTTTATGAATAAAATTAATAACTTCAAACAGTAAAAATCAGAAATCCCTAAAATACAAAGCAAGTTTTCTCAGTAGAGCTGAACATTTTGATATGTGGTTTTATTAGCACAAAGTATGCTGAAGTAGTTTGACTGTAAAAAAGGACTGTAGTTACTGTAAACAGGAAACAATACTTTGAATGCTGAGTCAGCATTCACATGAACAGATTTTTTTTTTGTTATGTATACAGTTTTTAAGAATTTTCCAAAAAAAGAATATTATTGTGGGTTACATACTTATAAATGTGCTATAGCTTGCATTATTAAAAACTTAACAAAAATATCTGACCGATCATGTTTGCATCTTGCTCACATACAAATAATTAGGTTTAAAATTCATACATAACTTTAAGCTTCTAGTCTTCTGAACAAAATGTAAAACTCCATCTTTGTGAAGTCTGATGAGGCTGAACTTCCTGCTCACACAGATGGGCAGGATCAATTACAGATGACTCTCACAGTACTTAATTAGATTTGCAATCAAACTTCATAAAAACAGAACAATCTTTTTTTTTTTAAGTGTTTGATTCATTTCACGAAACATTTTACTTGCAGTCGTATTTTATTAGGCACCATCTCTGCATAAAATCAAACCTGAAAAAAATAAAAAACACATGTGCCAAAAATGTCCTTTTATTGTCCTCCTTAGATAGAGAACTTTACTAATTGGCTTTTATGTATGTGAATGCTTCTGTAAAGTGCCCTGAGACAACTTTGTTGTGATTTGCCATCCATCCATCCATTTTCTTTACCCGCTTATTCCATTTTGGGTCACGGGGGTCGCTTGTGCCCATGTCCAGCAATCACTGTGCGAGGGACGGGGTACACCCTGGATGGGTCGCAAGTCCATCACAGGGCCACATAGAGACAAACGAGACAAACAACCATTCACTCTCTCACTCACACCTAGGGACAATTTAGAGTTACCAATCAGCCTAACATGCATGTTTTTGGACTGTGGGAGGAAACCGGAGCACCCGGAGAAAACCCACGCATGCACGGAGAGAACATGCAAACTCCACCCAGAAAGGCCCCTGGACCGGGGTTTGAACCAAGGACCTGCTCGCTGAGAGGCAGCAGCTCTACCAGTTGCGCCACCGTGCTGCCTACTTTGTTGTGATTTGGAGCTATATAAATAAACTGAATTGAATTGAATGGACATATTGTTCAAGGATTCAAGGTTCTTTATTTGTCATGCGCACCACATGTGGTACATGTGATGTAACGAAATTGTGTACACAGGGTCCCAATTACATCCAACAAAAATATTAAAATGTAAAAGAAAAATAGTAATAAAATCTAAGATATGAACTAAGAAAAATGTTAACTAAAAATACACTAAGCACTAGTAGCATTAAAAACAACATGCCAAACAGCAGCACAAACAAGAGTGTGTGAGCAGGACCAACTAATAAACTTTTTTTTCAAAGTAATACTTTACAATTTAATGACATTGTATTTATGAAAATACTGGAAATAATGTATAAATAAATGTCTTCCTTCTGGAAATAAAAAAATAATTTCGATTAAGAGAGAGTAAATATAATTTACGAGGTTTGTTAATATTTGAACATGCTAAAGAGAAAAGTAAAGTAAGATCTAAATGTATTTCAGTTATTGGCGTGAAACTGTGGAATAAATTGAATGATGATCTCAAATGATGTGCTTTTTTGGTGAACTTTAAAAGAGCCTTAAAATGCAGAATTATAAAAGATTATACTGTTATGTAGATGTATATATGCATTGTGTAACCATGTATGTATGTAATGTGAGTATGTGTTTGTATGTATATACATGCATATTTCAATACAAATATGTGTATGTGTACATGTGTATCAGAATCAGCTTTATTGTCACTGCACCGAAGCACAACAAAATTACATTTCAGTACAGCCCATCCAAGTAAAACACAAATAAATAGACATGGGGAGACGGAGGTGTCTGTGGCTGCAGCCTTGTGGGAGGTGCTGCCCTTTTCATTTAGATAAGAAAAGAGGAACACGAGGGAAGAAGAAGTGTAAAAAAAAATAATAACCATATCTCACACTGAGTCCTAGATGGGACACTTGAAAGTTGCCAAAAACAAAACTCAGCACAGATAGAGCAACATATTGATGACATTATAAGACATATGCATGAGGAAGACCAATGAAGGCGGTGAGTTTGTCCGTGGACACTGCCAGATAGTCCCCATAGTCCTGATAAGATATGGTGCAGTGTCTATCAACTGGCTCAGCTCTAACACAGGTTCACCGATGTCCTCGGGAAGGTTCACAGGGCAAAGAGCAGAAGCAGGAACGAGAGAGAAAAGTGTCCACCTTCATCGAGAGCAAGCAGGAAAAAGCAAGCAGGAATACATACATGTACTATATGTATGTATATGGACAGTAGATACATTTCCTTATTATATACTGCTGAGTGAATAGGGTAGGCAAGTATAAGCCTTGGGTTCAAACTATTCCTTTTTTGGTAAATTATTGATTTGTAAAATAGTATTTTATATTGTTTTCCTTTTTTGTAATGTTGTTAATTTACCTAAATAAAGTTGAGTTGAGCTGTCAGTACTGTAGCAGAACACATAAATGCTATACCAGAACCTAGATGTGAATATGCTACAATGAGAGTTGTCATGCTGTCCTCATACTGGATATGAGATGAAATTTAGAGTAAATGACAACTTGAAAGCTGTAACATGTTGATTATGTCATTACACAGCTTCAGTGGAGTATGTGTAGTGACAGCTGAAGACTGAAAGTACTTTCTGTGTTTGATCTTTTGGGTGTTTTGATTCATTCATAACTTCATTATGTTTGAGTAAAGACAGACAGGACTTTCAGTCGGAACCAGCTTAACGTGTTATCGGCCCAGCAGAAGTGTCAGATTTGATCATTTCTGTAAAAGTTGTGTTTGGATTTTTTAAAGTTGTTTCATCATTACAAAGTAAAAAGCTCACGTGTTGAAAAATAAAATAAAAGTTTAGGCAAAGCACACGTTTTGTCTTCCAATGGGATATAGATCTTTCTGGGTCTCTCAGAGATTATGAACATAAAATGTCTGTAAACTGATTTTCAACCACAATATCCTGAAACTGCAACAAAATTGTACATAAATGAAGCTCCTTTTCTAAACCAATCACTTTTTTCTCTCTTGAACCTAAGCTTTACAGATATGTTTGTGGAATACAGTAAATGGACACGTTGGAGTTGTTTCATTCATATTTAGTTCTGAACTGGTTCAGAACACCATTTGATTTCCCAGTTGATTGCACACTACTCATTATCACTCATTGCTGGAGGCAAGAGACAATAATGTGTGCCGTGTGTCTGTGTGCACCTGCTTGTAGCGTTAGCAACACATCACATGAACCAGTGTACAACTTTTAAGAAACTCTCAGAAAGTGATCATTGGATGTGCATGTACAGATTTAATCATGCATCAGTCATTAACAACGTTTGGTCAAAAACAGCTATAACTCCATCTTTTCAGAGATTTTACTTAAAATATTCAGCTAGAGAAGCTGCAGGCGATACGCATTCCTTCGAGTATTGCTAAGCTTTTAATTCCTTTTGAGTAAATGTGTCATGTTTAACATTCACAGGGTTTGTTCTCCCAGATGAAAGGCCAAATAGGTAAAAATAAATGTAGAATATGTGCACATGAGCAAATTATACAGGAGAGTCCAGTCACTGCTTATCTTTACAGTCACTTCTTGTACTTCAGCAGCTGTGTCCCTGCTGCTACAAGTCTTCTTGCTCACATGACTGCTGTTTTTGTCCTCTGCAGTCACAATACCAAGACAACCACATGGCTGGACCCCCGCTTGGCGAAGAAGGCGAAGCCCCCAGAGAACTGTGAGGATGGAGGTATGTACTGTAAACTTCTGCTCCTCCTTATGTATTTACATGTGTCTATTTATGACTCAGTACGTCACATTTATTCACATATTTTAATTTTAGTGTTCAGCTTGGACTTGAAATTGCATATAACATTAAAAAAAACTTTAGCATTTATGTACCATGGCCTAAATTGTCAGACATCTACATCTTGGGGCCTGCTTAAAGTATCTTTAGACATGTCTTTGTGTCCCTAGATGATGGTGTGGGCTTAAGTGCAGTCAGAAACAAAAGAGTGGCCATAACTGAAGGCGTGGGACCCTTCAGCCTAGTTTTAATGGATTTTTACAACAGAAAGCTTGTTGGTGCATCTGAAAGGCAACTCTAAAGCTCTTTCTTGTGTTAAGAGCTCTCTCTCATCTCTCTTTTCTCAGAAAAGACAAGATGTACATCAGCCATTCCAGTCGACCAGCTTAGTGAAAACCACTGGAATATGCTCTAAATTACTTCTTTTTTTATTGTTGTTTTTGCCTTTTTTCATTCTGCAAAAGTCAGAAAAGTGTACCGTTACCATAACATTAAGTTAAATGTGTCACAATTTTCAGACAATAGGGTTTTCCCTTTTTTTTTTCTGTCTAAAATGTTACTGGCATCATTTTATAACACAGTGACAAATTATTATTATTATTATTATTATTATTATTATTATTATTATTATTAT